TCAAGATCAATAATCAAGAAGGTATTGAAGTAATCAAAATCATAGATCAAGGAGTCAAAGTCAAGAACAAGAATTCAAGAATCAAAAGAGGCAATATTCAAGATTAAAGATTAAGAGACCAAACATGAAGAGATTCTAATAGATCTTCAAGATTCAAGATCCGAAATTTAAATTTAGTAACAAAGAATCATTCTCAAAGAATTAAAATATGTTCCGTATTAATTAATTTTCTTTGTGATTTGATATGGATAATCTTCACAATAAAGAAATTTAAGATCCGTTTGATTGTAAGAATGAAATTTGGGTGGAAAGAAAACAAATTTCAGGGAATTGAATTGCCTAAAACTTATTTTCTTAGGAATTGTCAATTAAATATATTTGATTGATATAATTTTTTACCTGAAAAATGTTGAAATTTTTGATTTTTTGGTATTCGTTTGACTTTGTTTTTCATGAAAATTATCATTTAAATTGATATAATTTTTTTACAATTGTGTATAAAACTTCTTCCCATTGGTAAAAAAATAAAAAATAAAAAATTTAAAAAGCTGAAAAATGCACATGTGTGCAGGGGCGGACCCAAACCGTTCGAACTGTGGGGTCAAAATTTTTTTTTTTCGAACAACATATTATGAACAAAAACGAAAAATCGGTTGTTTGTTGTTCATGTTCGATATTTGCACTTTAGGAAAAAATCGGTGGATTATATGATATATTTATGGACTATATAATTGATATGGACCATATGATATGAATATAGATTTAGGATTTGGATTTTTTGGGGCAAAAAATTAAGTTTTCAGCTAAAAAAAAAAAAAAAAATTCCAGAAAACTATGGGGTCATTTGACCCCACATGACCCCATGTGGGTCCGCCCCTGCATGTGTGGGGGAAAAGATGGAAAAGGTTTTCCATGAAAATTTTGGCTGTCAATTATGCAAAAATGGTGGAAATTCCATTTCCCATAGAAAATATTACGTATCAAGCAGGGCCTTAGGTTTTCGAATTCTAAAAGTTTCTAATTTTGAAGTTTCAACAGATACTACCAAATGGTTAACCAATTGTAAAGTCAAAATCAAAATTGTGGAAGTGCAAAATAATTACCATGCTGTTTAATTGCATACTAAACGATGAAAATTCAATGATCAAAAGCATCACTAGTTTAAAATTCGATTATAACGAGTTGCGTGTACATAAACAGGGGCATATATATTGGGAGTTTGACATGGACTTCTACCAATGGTAGATCACAACTTTGTTATAAATGTGTTTGACGAAGACTCCTAAATTCTTAACTTTGTTCTTTATAAAGATAATTTTGGGCTCCTCCCTTTGAAAAATTACGCTCCACTAGCTTAGAAATTATACTTTTAATACCACTTGTGGCAATTATCTAGATGGACCACATCTAGGTGTCATACTATACACTGTTCTTGGAAAAAAGTAAAGATAAAAATGGTCCACAATTTATAATTTTATGACCAGTATTTGATCAACTTAGCTACTATCCAAGGTGTTGCTATTCACAATCTCTTGTGATTTGCAATAAATGTTGTTCACCTCGTATAACTACTAGAATTCAATCTCATATGTTACTAGAATTCGATCGAGTCATCATTAGTTTAAGCCCCTATTTGGCAGGGATTGAAATCAAATTTTTAGTAAATTTTGATAGAAGTTGATGAAATGTATGATTGAAAATTTATTAGATCCATAAAATATGCGATTAAAATTAATTATAAATCTAAATTTTAATCGATACCAAATGGTGGAACGAGTTCAAACTCTCGTCCCCCACCCCCACCCCCCAATTCATGACTTCGCATGTGCCAGGCACCCAAAAAAATTGCTTAAGAATGTCAAGAGTGCATATAAGATTGCCTACATAACATAACTAAATTAAATAATCCAAACTAGACCTGCTAAACTTGGCTGTACCTTCCCTCATCTTCAATAACCTTAATGTGGTCACATGACTCAGATATGAAAAAGTGATTAATAAATTATTAAAGACTGATAATTAATTTAATAGTAGCTAGCACTAAGCATACGTCATTAGAGCGTGAGAGTTATGTCATCAAATATCCCACAAATAAGAGCTAGGGTTTTCTCGTGAGCTATATAGTTAGTGGGTTTTGCAGCTATCATAAAATCTTTGAATTAAAATAAGACACAGCAAAAAATAGAGCAGACTAGAAAAGTATAGAAATTGGGACCATGGGAAGCCATGCGTGTGACCATTATACCACAAGGGGTCCAACTGCATATAACCTAGGTGGCAAATATAGTACCAGAGAATGACCTGACTGTCTGTCCATAGATAAATACCTGCACTAGAAGATGTTGATTATAATATCGATCGGTTAGACTCGAAAAATTAAAAGTTCGATATGTTCTATATACATGAAAAAAGAATATCTAACATTAGAATGAATTACAATCGATTGGTTAGCTCGATCTCCTGTTGATATGAGTATCATTGACATATATTTTTTTTTTTATTAACGACAATGATTATTTTGACATATATTGAATCTTTTACCTTGATCTTCCGAATTTTTCGGTCAAGAATTTGTGTCAAATCACTTATTTTAAATAATTTAACATATGCGTTATGATTAATTCAAACAATTGTTTTTGAATATTACTAGAGCAATATGTAAAGTTTGCTCAGGGTGCTAAGAGCATATTCAATCTTGTTGTAAAATATATTTAAATTTTTATTTAGATTTTCGAAGTGGTTGAAGAATATCTCCAATGGAGAGGTGCAGAAATACAAATTAATTTTTCTTACATAAAATGTAAATTTACATCTTTTTTTACATTCACAAAAGGCAAAACGTGGATTTATATATATCTTTCGGTTGGAACAAAATTTGAATTCAAATCCACCAAGATGTACATGAGGATGCAAAAGTAATTTTAAGGATACAAATTTGAGAAATGCTATTTGGCCAGAGAATGTGCAAATGACTCCTATAAGAGAGAATCTGGCCAGGGTTTATGCAAATGACCCGGGCCAAATAGCATTTCTCTACAAATTTATATCCAATTTTACATCACGACGGAAGATACTAATGTCAAATGGCCAAAGCTTAGGCTACCCCAGCTCTCTCTCTCTCTCTCTCACAGAAGAAAAAGAGACGCACAGAAAAAAAAAAAAAAAAAAAAAAAAAAAAGAACCCAAAGAGACGCACAGAAAAAAAAAAAAAAAAAAAAAACAAAGGCACTCATTAATTACAATTATGGTGTTAAAAGGGGTAATAAAAAGTTAACTAGGGTTAATGATAATTTGTTTTGCTTTTTTGAGCCAAGCATCTTAGAAACTGTGTAATTACTCAGACAAGCTCATAAAAATCTTTAAGCTTTTAGCATCTTTCTTAACCTTTTTTTAAGAATTTCTTCTTTTACCAGAAATTCAAACCAAAACCATCCATCAAATGAAATAACTTATAATTAAAACTCAAAAATAAGTCGTTCCCTTTTTCTCTTCGCCAAATGGGAATGATGTTGGTCTAATACAAAAATAAAGGACGTCTTGAAATATAGCTTTGGTTAGTCTTACATTTTCTTACGTTTGAGGTTTAACTTTACGTTTTTTATCCAGTACTTTTAAAAAGAAAAATATGATTCGATTTCAGCGAGATAATTAATTAAATAAATACTTCAAAAGTCGAAAAATTGAGCAACACGAAATTAACAAAATGATTACAAGAATTGGAGTGAAATCTTGCATGGAGTTTTTCAGTGTCTCGTGTAAAAGGTGCATGCGTCCCAATTCTTGACTTTGTAGTGAAGCAAAAAGTGTATATATTAACTTTATATCATATACATAGCATGGATCTCATCATGATTCATTTTATTTATTAATAATCCACATTAAATCAATTTTTTACAGTAATTTTTTTATTTTTTTTAATGAATAATATAGACATACATTTAGCTCAATGTCAATGGAGAACTTATATCTCCAAAGAATGGTTTTGTGTTTAGCTTTTACAATTCGTAGTTCTCAAATAGTTAATTTCGCCTTTAAACCCACAAAAAAGAGAAGAAACAAAGACGTCGAAGAACAAATTTATTTATTCAAATTTTATCTTTAACACGTCTCTTTCTTTCTATACATGTGAAGTTATTAATTATAATATATATGAATGATTACCAAGAACAGCTTAGCACATTGGAACTCTTCTCGTTTTCTGCAGGTTCAATTTAGCCAATGTAGTTAGTTCTATCTTCAAGAAATGCAGGTGCTGTAATCTTGTTACTTTGAACCGTTCCAATTCCACAAGGACTAGACAGTAAACGTAACCAATACCTGCAACTGAAACCGAGGAAATGATCAAATACAGTATAGGTGTATAATATAATGTATGTATATACAGATACTTAGGGGTAGGGTGAGTGGGGCGGGGTGGAGTGTGTTCCAAGACACAATGATTACATGGGTCTTGGGGAAGCATAAAAGGGTTGGCGTGGAAAATAGGTATAGAGATAGGAATAATATAGAAGAACGTGGTGGCTTGACCAAAGCTTTATAGCCACCAGCCATCTTTTATCATCACACACACTAACTCTGCTTTATCATTTGTCTTTGGTCGGTCGACAATCTGTAAGTTTTGTGTTCTCTGTGTTGTGCTCGTGTCCCCCCCACCCCACCTCACCCACTCCCTCACTCTTCATATTCTTCTTTATGTGGGAACAGCATTCAGAGTGTAATTATAGACTTTGAACCAATCAGAAAGCAACATGCCAAATTATACGCAGTAACGTATGTATATGCGCAAAAAAGTTCACTATTCTGATAGCTACAGAATTGGATAGTGAGAGAGAAAAGAGAATGCCGTAAGAAGAAAGGAAAGAAGACTAATAGTACTTGCATACCTCTATGTATGTTAGTAATAGTAGTGGGCGGGGGTGGAGGGCCCTGCAAAAAAAATAATAAAAAATAAAACTCAAAGAAACCAAAAAAGATACCAACCAAGCTTAGTTGAGACTAGGATAAAAAGGGTTCTTCACCCATTCACCTTCTCCACAAAGGCTGTGTCAGTGAAGAAGAAGAAGAAGAAGAAGAAAAAAAATAGCAGGTTTTCAGAGAGAGAGAGAAAGAAGAATTGTGGTGGCCAAAGAAACTCTTTCTAAGGTCTGTCTTTACCTTCTCTTTTCTGCTTTCTCTCAGGGCATCCCTTTTTCCCCACAGGAAGTATAATCCAAGTTTTTTCAAATATTCCCCCTTTTCATCCTTATATGAAACAAAGATGCTATGATTATGCAACAACCCTAAAGTTTTTTTTTTTTTTTAATTTTATTTTATTTTAACTTCCAAATATTCATAACTGCACATATATATATATATATTCTGAAGGTTAGGTTTGTTACTCGTAATATACTAAAGAAAATTTTTCAGGGAGCAATTGAAATCAAGAACTGTGCCATTAACAACAGATGCAGCAACAAAATAGTAGTGCTGATGCATTTATGGGAGGTGGTGGTGGTGGGGGATCCAGTTTGACTTACCCTGAAGTATCGCAAATCCTGCCATGGAGTCTACCACCAGTTCACAACTTCAACCCGATTCACTACTCAACCCGTGACCACGATCCATTTCTCCTCCCTCCGGCTCCATCAGTACCCTATGGAGGTTTATTCAACAGAAGGCCTCCGGGTTTGCAATTCGGGTATGAGGGTTCATCAACAGACCATTTAAGACTTATTTCAGACTCCCTTGGGCAGGTGGTACACACTGGCTCCGCCGGCCCTTTTGGCCTTCAGGCGGAGCTGCAGAAAATGACTGCTCAAGAAATCATGGATGCTAAGGCACTCGCTGCATCTAAAAGCCATAGTGAAGCTGAGAGGAGACGCAGAGAGAGAATTAATAACCATCTTGCTAAGCTCAGAAGCTTACTTCCAAGTACAACCAAAGTAAGCATTATTAATTCTATTCTTAGATTCCGTTCCAACAACCATTACCAATTTATAAGCACTATCCGCTGTATCTAAGCAATTGCAATCGACCACATTTACACCAACCCTAAAGTTTACTTTTTTATTGACTTTTTTTTTAGTTCAAAGATCTCTGTAGATATCCCAAGATCCTATCCTACTCAGATACTTCTACAAATGAGATGTTTGTCCGAGTGGATATTTAGGTGGGGAAAGTGACAATTTTTTTAATGTAATTTTATAATTCTCTTGTTGGATTGTGATTCTTGGTGGTAGTCCCAAGGAAGAAAAATGGTAAAGGGTGTCGTTCCGCTGATATGATAAAGAGAAACCATGGAACAGTTGAAAAGCTTTCCATGGAGAATTCTTGCCGGATATACAGTCCGAATAACAGATGAGAAAAAAATAGATTAGGAATAAAGACAGACAAATAAGCATTCTTGTCAATAGTTGGGCTCGTTTATACACTGTTTACCCATGCCAGGTTTGGTCCCTCAAACCCCGCTATTAAGACACTAACAAAACTTTCTAGTTTCCATCATCAAACCAGCAATTCCTTCAAACTCTATCTATTAGTTTCTCACATTTCTTGGTTCATTTTGCAATACAAACCGTCGTCTCTAAAGCCCGAAATTCTTTCTCAATGGATAATTTTGTAGTTGATGAAGCTTAAGAAGGATAATATTTTTGTGACTGTATTTCTATTTATGCAATTGTCTTGCTAGGAAAAGTGATGGAATTCTCATTTAAATTGATTTTGTAGACGGATAAAGCTTCATTGCTTGCAGAAGTAATCCAGCATGTGAAGGAGCTGAAGCGCCAAACTTCTATAATAGCAGAAACAAGTCCAGTCCCAACTGAGGTCGACGAGTTAATAGTGGATGATGCATCAGATGAAGACGGTAAATTTATGATCAAAGCTTCAATCTGCTGTGAAGACAGACCTGATCTTTTGACTGATCTTATCAAGACCCTAAAAGCACTAAGGTTAAGAACGCTCAAAGCTGAAATTACAACACTTGGAGGGCGTGTGAAGAATGTTTTGTTCATTACTGGGGAAGAAGATGAGCAGGAGGAACAGCAACAGTACTGTATAAGCTCAATACAAGAAGCCCTTAAAGCAGTTATGGAGAAATCTAATGGTGATGAATCTGGTTCAGGGAATGTTAAGAGACAAAAAACCAATATCAATATATATCCTTGAATACTGGAGGTCACTCTAAGATATAATTGCCATGAATTAAACCTTAATTTAGTTCTTCCTTTTTATTACTCTTTGTGTGATTTCTTGGTTGTGTGTGCATGTGTGTGTGTGTGTTTTAGTTTTGGATCTTAAAACAACTTACTATATTATGTTTTGAGAAATTCATCATTTTGGTATGAAAGGGAATATGAAAGTATAAAAACTCGAAGAGGAGACAGTAAGTGAAAGAGACAACTCATCGGAGTGGAATGCGGTTGGTGAGAGTTTGCAACTTGGTTTTCTTGAGCATAATTCTGTACACAAAGAGAGGGTGGGGTGGCATAGGTGCGGGGTAGAGAAAAATAGTTAAGGATCTTTTTCGTGAGGAGAGAGACCTTATATCAAATCCAAAGATAGAAATATGTGGACTTTGAAGAGTAAAACAAGCAGTCATACTAAGGCATTGTATAATCCTCAGAAAGGTGACGATATCGTTTTCATCATATGCTACAACTCCCTACCACAAACAGCACCGCCACCATCTCCTCCGCCGTGCAGTGGTGTTTCAGGCTTCCATGCTACAGTCCCGCCGACACCTCTTCTGCCGTAATGTGGTGGTTCAGGCTTTAATCTCTGGTATCCTACTACAACCTTTGGGAATATATGTACGCATAAACATTAATTAAATGTTTGGTATATTTCCCTTTCTTCCTCTTGTAAGATGATGAAATCATCAACCTATATGAAGTGCATGGTTTTTAGTTGCACTGTATTGTGGAAAACCGGAATTTGCTTTTGTATTCTTCTCTATTTTCATCTCAGATTTCAACTGCTTGTTGATTTTTTATTTATTTTTTAATCGAACCCCACATAGGTTAGTTATTTATTGATACTCAAAAAAATAAAATGAAAGTGACAGAGGACAAGAACTCAGTCAATAAAAGAAACGAAGATGATTTAACAGGTAAAAAAGAAAATCTCACTTTAATTTCTTGTGCTCTCATACATTCCTTGTCATCATATATCGCTGAGATAATATTTTAGCTCATGATAGTTTTCATAGTGTAATCTTCTGTAGAGTCCACTAGTCCATGGTCAAAGTCAGTCTGGGAATGGAGACGAAAGGAAAAGAAATTCAGATATTATAATCTTTCTTCTTCTTCCATATTATGATTATGTAAATCAGATATTATAATCTTTCTCCCGAGGAAATCATTTTGTATTTAAAGCACATATTTCAATTACTTATCTAAGTGATTAAATTTAATGAAATCTCTATGCACACTAATTTGAACCACACATTACATTATTATCCAAATATTTCATGAAATTCACTACTATTTTTATTTATACATTTGCCAAATTCTAGGGTCATTTTCATTTGGTGTGACATATATAGGCATCATGGAAGACAAAATGAAAGATGCGTAGAAGACATTATGTAAAGATAATGAATGAAAACTAGAAACTTATCCTCATTATTTTGTTACAAATTGTAAGATTTGTTTATGAAGATTCAGCCTCGTTTTTGTCCCATTATTTGTAGATTATAATGAGATGAATATTTTTTTTTTAAAAATGAGTGATTGAAAATTTTTTGATTTACGTGTAATATTATTTTATTGAGAATTGTGTGATTAAAAGTATGAGAGAGAAAATTTTAATTTAATATAATGAGAAATAATAAGGCTCAAACGGGACTCAATGAACCAAAATTTGGCTGTGGGATAATATTTGTAATTCGTTAAGCATAATGGTCAGTATTTCATTTGATAAAGGGGTTAAAAACTTAGCTCCCGTTTGGCTCCTATTAAATTCAATTACATTATATTTCATTTTTCTCTCTCCTATTTTTAACTACACAATCTTTCATAATATAATATTACACGTAAATTAAAAACTTTTATTCCTTTTTGAACCACTCATTTTTAAAAAAAGTACTATTTCTCCCATTTTCATTTTCAGAAAATGGGGCCAAACGGGTGCTTAAACCCATTATTAGTCAACTAAACTTTTATAATCATCATTCAACTTTCAATCCTTTTCAATTTAGTCATTCTATCAAATAATAATGAGATATTTGACATGGACTAATTATTAATTATTTTATATGTGAAGTGGTCAACCGCGTTTCACAAACTAAAGGTAGTGACCAAGATGGAAGTTTGCTTTAAAATTCCATGCCCAAAATACAATATTGCTTAAGTTCAATGACCCAAATGAAATATTATTAAATATTTAAAAATAGAATGATAAAAAATAAAAAAAAGGATTAAAGAAAAAGAAATAATCTTCTCTCCTTTTACCCACGTCCACTCTTTTTGATAATCTACTTTTGATATGGACTATTTCATTGTCTTCATTTAGAAAGGAAAACAATAGGTGGCCAGAGTCACTACAGGAAGCTATGGCTTTCCCGATCAACTATTCTTGACCAATAAAAAATTAGTCGGGAAAAATTCGTTTTTATTGATCAATAAATTTTCTTAGTTGGGCAAACTTTTACCAACCAGAGTTTTCCCGACCAAATAGAAATGGTCAATAATAATCATATTTGTCGACCAATTATTTAGGACCAATTTAAAATTAGCCATTGAAAACTATATATGCCGGCCAAACAAATTAGTAATCGGCCTATATTATTCATATTTGCCGACCACTAGTGAAAAATTACGTTGTAAGTTCAGTGATTAACATTATTTTTAACCCCCTTTGATGAGCCGCCATATTGCCACTTTATCACCTATAATTTCTATTCATTGTTTTTTGTGATTTTAATGAGATATGATTCAATTTGTAGTCAAGGAATCAGGAAATGAAATAAAATATTTCCAAAAAATAATAATAGCAATAATGCCGATGAAAATTAAAGAAAATATTTTAAGTGTTATGTCATACGTCCAATCAACTTTAAACATAAATACTTTTAATGTATCACTAATGCATTTTTATGGTAGATCTATTATTTAATTTATTAGAATATTAATTCAATTAGATAATAGAGTTTGTAGATTCAAATATTAGTAATTTGTTAATCACAAGAAGTTGTTATTATGAGATACAAATTTCATATGATTGAATTTTAAATGGTATATGGTCGTAAATAATGATGAGATATAGATATTATTCTTACGAAAAAACCATCACGTGTTGAATTTCTTATTTGTGAAATAAGTAACTGATCTTACAAGTTAAAGTGTGGTGACGTTTAAATGAATACGTGGATGTTTTGTTATCGAACAAAACATTGAAGACTCACTGGGAAGATTCTACATAGATAATATAAGTATCAGTGTTTAATATCTAACGTTCGATAGTGAAATTGGTCCTTTTACTTGAAGTCATCATAATACCTTATATGAAGACAATCATACTTGGGTGATGTTGGATACTACTCTGCTAAGGGTCGCTATGGCATCGTTCGGGTAAGTCAAGAATTATATGAAGGTTGTAAATAATCAATAAAAAATTCTTCACTCTTAGATAGTAAGAGATTATGATCTACATTTCATTCAGTTAAGTTGATAACATCCTTGACCAAAGCGTATTCATAAGTCGAAAATGAGCATTGACTTAATAGTGGGATGAATGATATGATCGATCGTAATTAATTGGATCATATTGACGAAATGATTATAATTTCACGGTAAACGAAGAAGTTTGATTTTGTCATACCATATAATATTTTTGGTCACATGTATTACCCTTACTCGTGAAGATGCCAATCTAGGATACGGATTTGAATTGGTGATAAATTAAAAAAGGATATTTTAATTTGTCGATTTTAATTAGATCAAAATAATAATTCATATTGTTAGGTATCGTGATCGGAAACCTGATGGGTCACACACAAAAGGAAAACTAGAAGAATAAGATTTACCAATTAATTAATTAACAAGTATTGGACAATTGATTAATTGGGTTGCTTGTTAATATGTTCGAATTAATTAAATGGATTGATTAATTCATGGAACAAATTTAATTAATTTGATTAATTAAAAATTGGATCAAGCTAAGTTTAAAAGACCGGCCAAGTCCACTTAAACTTATATTAATAGATTCCTTATCACATTTTTTCTCTAAGCACAAAGAAAGTCTTTGGTGAGAATTACAAATTTTGTTTAAATTTCGCTGTACATGATAGGTAAATTCCCAACAAATATACCTCAACAATGGGTTGAAGAACTTTGTCAAATGAACTGTATGTGAAGTTTTAAGATGTCAACAATTACCATTGCGATTAAAGAATAAAAGTTTACTACGTGGGAGGATATTATTATGCCTCTTTTTGATAAAAATTATAAATCATTTATAAATAGTCAAACTTCTTTTTCAACCATAAATTTAATATATCTATAAGTACTTATATACTATTTATTTATATCTATTTATAAATTAAACCGTCTATAAATTCTTCCCAAATAGAGTTATTATTATAGAATCAAGAAAGTGTGTTCTAGAACTAGTGGAAATTGCGCCTCTTACATAGTTTTTTGGTAAAATTTCAAGAATTACTTTGTAATTAATTTTATCTTAGAATTACTATTAAATTATAGTAAAAATAAAAAATGAGGAACTCACTTCACTCATGCACGTTAATCAATTGGGTCCAAATTTTGTTCCGCCAAACACGTTTCTTTCATTTGATAGATTAATGATTAGTCAAAATTCCCTAACTCACAACTTTTCATATTCATTCCATTATCTTCAACATCCAAAATCTTCTCTAGAATTCAAAGATCAATAGCACACACCAATCCATAGATCTATGTTATCTCATGTTTCAACAAAAGGAAATCAACTTAAAACAAAATAAATAAATAATAATAATAATAAATAAAATAAAATAAAAATTAACATTAAATATATCGTTAGGCAACATATCCTATAATGATCATTTTATAGTTCCTCAGAAAATTTTATGTTGTAGTACTTTTGTAGGTGAATAACAAAAATCAATCCAATACATGGTAGCTTTAAAGACGTAGGTACTAATATTTACTAAATATGGGTTTACACTACACGATCAGGTATATAAAACAAGAAATATATTTCATATGAATAACAACTATGGGTATACATATCCTTAATTGTAAAATCATATTTTTGGATGACAATTCGAATTGTGAATCGTGGAAACATATTTTCAAATGTCAAAATGGGTCCTGAAAGATTACACATACAAATTATAAATTTAAGCAACTAGAATAAAGAATATCATATTACAAGTTTTTGTAACAGATACAACTTGTTGATGGATAGATACAAATGAAACCGGAGAGAGTATGATTATCACCACAGAATAGCCTAGGATACGGTTTGCCCAAATTCCACTTTTTTGAATTCTATAGTAATTTTGAAGAGCCATTGAATGAGAAGCTTAATCTTAGGATATTAAAAATAAAAAATAAAAATTGTGAGTTACATAAGAATGATTGGGGGACCATATTTGATATGTAGTATTTCTTGAAATCTTTACCAAATCATACTGTATTAATTGGATTAGAAACATCACATGGTACAATCTAATTTTTTTTTTTTTATATCCAGGTATCCACCTTACAGTGACTAAATCCTGGAGTTTACATCTTGGTCTCTCAAGCTGCAAACAGGTTAAATCGCAGGTTGTGCCCCAAACTGACCAGTGCTCAAGAGTCCTCCCAACTGATCTGCCAAAGTGTCAAATAAGTCGTATTTCCCATCTTTGTACCTTGCCTTCCAGTAGGTATAATCTAAAATTTTATTTTGTAGTGAAGATACGAAAGCATAAAACTGTAAGTATGGGTTTAAAATGAGCTCGGTTATCAAGGCCAGCAAAGTAAGTTTGGC